ATATAATCACACAAATTCCAGCATAAGGGCATTTTAGTCAATTAACCTATATTAAAAAAGGAAATTTTCGGATTTTTAGGGATAATTAATTCCGTTATTTTTAAAAATCTGAATATTTTAAATTAATTCAAATTTAAAAATCCGATTTCATTCTGTCAGAATGTCAAACATTAATTAGTAAAGATATTTTCGATTTTATTCTTGCGGAATATATTTCCAATGCATATATTTTTGATAATTAACCTGATTTAATAATTTAACATAAATTATTCATATACATTCGAACATGAATACAAAATCATACATATTCTTACAAACTAATAGTCTTATATAATTTAATATAGTTATACATATTGTAACAGAATATCATCAAAAATGAATAAAAATATTAAGAAATAACATTCTTAAATATACAATTATTAAGCAAATACACATGATCTTCATCAATGGTCCAAATAATGCACTTGATTCAAACTATGATGAAAATGTGATATATTATCGTAAGAATGTAATTCTTCGCAAAATATACTTGTTGTTGAACTCGATTCCAAATCTTTCTCTTGTATGATCAATATGGAATTCCTTCTTCAAGCCATTCTGAAAGAATAAGATGCATTATTCGTTAGTATTACCAGTGAAGCTAATGTACTTGTTGTTAACAAACATTCTCAAAGACATTCTAACAGAATGCATTTATACAAATAAATTCTGACAGAATACAAGCATTACTTATTTAATAGAAACTATATAATAGAGAATGATAGCATATTCTAACATAATGTATTTCATTTTTCCTATCTTGCAATGTTTTTTACTTTTCCTATATTGACAAATAAGGAGATTAAAATCGAATTCTGTCAGAATAATAGACATTCTAAGAGTTTTGACAGAATACATACCACATGACCAGATTCTTACAGAATGTATTTCATTTTTCCTATCTTGCAATGTTTTTTACTTTTCCTATCATCTTTAATTCCTCATCACTCCAAACTATCTACAGATATAAACACTGTGCTTTAGGTAAATAACACAAGGGAAATTTGTCATCAAATGTGTGACTTACTAAAAGGGTAAAAAAGGAAAATATTGTGTTATGCATCTCTGCAACTGGTGGTAAACAGTTGATGTAAGGGGCCCATTCAGAAGCCTGCATTAATGAAGAGAAGATAAACAAGGAACCACATGGAATGTCATCTCAAACAGTTTGAGAGAAAAATGTACAAAATTGGTACCTGACCAAGTTTTTGGTGCATTAAGATGACCAATGCAAGCTTTTCAACATTAGTAACATCATCTCCTAACAAAGAACTTACTGAAGGAAGTAGATTATCTCGGGCTAGTTGCTGCAAAAATGTCCACAGATGACATAATTTGGGATTTATAATCATGGAGCACCAAAGAGTTATAAAGTTTCAGTAAAGCATACCATGGTGTAAGGAACTTTCAGTATGCAATCACCAGCATGTATTGGTTTACAAGCAAAAAATGACCTGCATTTAGGACATATCATAGATGAGCAAAAGAATTTGCAAAATCATAAAAATATTTGAAACATATATGTTACCTGCCATGAATTGATTTCCCTACAGAGAGCACGGAAGAAATTTCCTCCCCGGCCTTCTGCCTTAACCACGACAAGAAATCGATACAATCCTCGTCTACATGCCGGGGTGCCTGAGTCAAGCGAACTCATTCAGTAATTTTATCAAACAGTTGGCAGATATGGATAAAACACAATCCTCATTTGATTGAGTTTAGCTAAGAACCTGTAGTGGAGAAGATGATGTGGAGAAGTTGCACCTGACGTGGAGGCAACACTGGGAGGGAGCGAAAAAGCGCCGTTGGATTCGAACACCTAAAATTAGCATAACAATGTGTGAAATGGTGGTCCGTTCTGAGGTCTGACTAATACTTTTTGTTGAGTTGAGTTGAGTTGGTGATTTTGGGGTTTATTGCGGCTGTGGTGGTCGTAGTGTCCGCTGACTTTCGTGATTTAGGGTTAGGTTGTGAAGAAGCGGAGCAGAAGATGAAGGCAGGTCGTTCTTCCTCATTTTATTTTGGTGATTTTAAAATCAAATCCCCCATTTATCTCAATTACCATAAATTTAGAGTCATGATTTACTAATTTACCCTTATTAATTTATTTAATGATTAAATTATTCCTAAATTCCTATTGGTGCATTCATGCACACAATAGTTGCTAGAAACATTTGAACATATATATATATATATATATATATATATATATAATATATATATATATATATATGAGACGGTTCACTTGAGATTAAAAAAAAGTAGAGATCTTAAGATTCAACCTCAACCACATATTTCTACTTTGCCGCTCTAACGCTTTAGCGTACTGGCAGCAACGGAGTATGCCTAATCATAAATGATTATACATATATGTATGTTCACAGATTGAGTATCATATATGATTATGACAGTTGGTGGCAAAAGAGGTGATGGTGACAGAGGTGGCAGTGGTATAAATGACGGAGGTGACAGTGGTGGGGCGGGCTGGTGTCAGAGGTGATGGTAGTGGTGGTGGCGGTGACGGTTATGGTGGTGGGGATGGTGACGGAGGATAAAGGAACGGGCGGCACAATATAATCATTTATGGTTATAACTGACCAGCCGTGCCAGTATGCCGGATGGTTAGTGCGGCAGATGTGAAACTTGTGGCTGAGGTTGAATCACAAGATCTTTATTTTATTTTTAATTTTAATGGAACCTACCTCTCTCTCTCTCTCTCTCTCTCTATATATATATATATATATATATATATATATATATATATATATATATACACACACACACACACACACTAAAGTCCCAATATTTTTCGACTTGACAAGAAAGTCCTAAACTTTATTTTTTTTACAGTAAAGTCCTAAGTACCGGCAGTTTTTGACACTTTTAACCTTTTTTTCCGGTTAGCCAGTAATTAGGACTTTTTTGTCAAAAAAATAAAGTTTATGACTTTCTTGTTAAGTCGTGAATTAAGATTTTACTATAATTTTTTTTTTTTCGACTTTTTGTCAAATCGTTGAAAATATTGAGACTTTAGTGTATATATCCATTTTTTTTGTTAGAAATTTAATGGTATGATAGTCTTTAAGTATAAGAGTTATTGAAACTTGCACTAGTAAGCTAGATTCTATTGAAATCCTTAATGTTTGTTTCTTGTTAAATAATTTTTTTGAATCTCAACAAACCGACATTGAAAAAAATGGAGATAATCAAGAAAGAAAGAAATAACTAGTGTTATGTTGGCCTTTTGCAGTCCTAAAAATAGAGAACTAAGAAATCGGAAAAAACGAAATTGTCCTTCTTACCCATTCTCCACATTCACAGCATTTTGACTAGACATGTGTTGTCTGTATTTGTATAATTTGTCCCTACTTTTTAGTTCAAGGTTTGGCGGCGAAGCAAGAATAAAGTTTTACAAATCTTTTCACCTTTTCTCGCTCTCTCTTTTGCATATGTTGTTTCATCTTATCGTGATTGTATCAGAGTAAAAAGATGATGATGGTAAGAAAAACAGTGGTGCTACGACAAAAATCACAATTAAAAGTTCTTGGGTTACGAAAATACACTAAAGTCTCAATATTTTTAACGATTTGACAAAAAAGTCCTAAGCTTTATTTTTTTATAATAAAGTTCTAATTCACGATTTGACAAGAAAATTAAACCTTAAACTTTATTTTTTTTACAGTAAAGTCCTAACCGGTTAACCGGAAAAAAATGGTAAACATGTCAAAAACTACCGGTAATTAGGACTTTACTATAAAAAAACAATAATTTTAGAACTTTCCTTTCAAATCGATTGAAATATTAGGACTTTAATGTGTGTGGGTGTCTATATATATATATATACATATATATATATATATATATATATATATATATGAAAATAAGTTTGCCACTTGTCATTTTCTAATGCATTATGCACATGATTTTTTCTTATTATTTTCATTTAATTTTTTTCTACATGTCATTTTATATTTTTTCCATTTTATTAAATTTCACATAATTTCATTAATGGACTTTCCTTTTAATTTCAGAATTACTAAATTAAAGCCTCATTAGTTTCCTTTGTTTATTTATCTAAATTATTTTTTAAATTTTAAAGACAAAAAAAAAACACTTTAATTTTAATAATTCAATATTTGTTCTCACTTTTTTATAAACTTAAAATTCAAATGTTTAGAATTTCATATTTAATTTTTCTTTTAAATAAACTCATGTAATACATAAGTCTCTAGGTCATACCTAGTACCATAATAAATGAAAATGGTTTTGCCACTTGTCATTTCCTCAAGATTTTTGCCACATGTCATTATATGATATTTTTAAATTACTTAAATTTCACATGTTGTATTTTCATTTTTTTGTTAATAAAAAATTAATCAATTCTACTAATTAACACCTCTATTATTATATATGCAAAGTATTTATTATATTAAATGTGTAGATCAACACTATAATTAATGAAACATTTATTATTTAAGGTAATATATATTTTTCTCTATAAAATAAATATAATAATAAATAGTTTGTTTTTTTCACCATTTATTATGATTTTTTTGTTACATAAATTAAAATAATCAAATATTATAAAACAATATTGTCAAAATTGAGATATAATAAAATATATTTTGTTAAACTTTGAGATGACGTAAGCATTAAAAATATTTAATGTTTATATTTTGATATAAAATTTTTAACTTTAATAAACTCGTGTAATACACGGGTCTTACACCTAGTATATATGTATGTGCAGTGCGGTTGAGTTTTTTACGGTTTTTGCAAGACTAAAAACTGCATCGCACCGAACATGTCTATTTTTTTTTGTTTGCGGTTTGATTTTTGTTCACCTTTGATTTGATGGAAATTCTCCATTATTATATTATTATACCGTAATAACATAACTTTTCAATCCAACAAAACCTTTTCATCGGGGTATGTTTCCATCCAATTTCTTAGTGGATGTACCCTTATCCATTCATTTCAATTTCCTAACCTGTCAAACAACAAACAGTAGTCGTTGACTTGGGTCTTGCTTTATATTCTTTTGATTATAAATCTAATCTCGAAACAGTCTTACCTTCCCATTAGACATCATGATGACTGTTCTTTCTGAATTCCTAGAAGGATCATCATACTCTTTACATACTCATGGTCTTAAACATGACGTATTTTTAAGTTTTAGAGGTTGTGACACTCGTCATAGTTTCACCAATCACCTTCATAAGGCCCTCATCGCCGCCAATATTACCGTCTTCTTCGATGATGATGAGATTAAAACTGGAGAAGATCTGAAACCGGAATTGGAGAGTGCAATTAAAGCATCTAGGGTTTCTATTATCATTTTGTCCAAGAATTACGCTGATTCGTCATGGTGCCTTGATGAATTGTTGTTGATCCTTGAGCAACGTAGGACATCCAACCAGATTGTTATCCCCATTTTCTATCATGTTGAGCCCACCCATATCAGAAAGCAAGAATGCACCTTTGGACTTGCAATGGATAAGCACAGGCAGCAGATGGAGGCACAGACAAATGCAAATAAAAAAAGTCAAATGGCTCAAAAGATCGGTCGTTGGAGGAGAGCACTTACAAAAGTTGCTAATATAAGCGGAGAGAACGTAAAGGGCTGGTAATTACTTTTTCCATTTTTTATCCAAAGCTCCATGCTGCTTCAATTTTGTTTGATTACTACATGAGATGTCCACATTATATCCTCTCTATGCATTTCTTCAGTGACTTTCATCAATATTATCAAATATATTTTTGATGTAGCATCATAAAGAAGATGCATAAAATTGAATCCAAATTTTCAACTATATGATCGCATAAATCAATTTTTTATAGCGATTAATTAATAATCCTTATACTTTCGACAGGTTTGTGGGGCTCAATTCTAATTATACATAAATATTCTGATCTTACACATTAGATATCGTATATCGTCCGAAATACAATCATGATACACTTTTGATGTGAAATCGTTAAAATAATAGTTTAATATGTGTAGACAAGAATATTCTAGATATGGCTGAATATATGGTTGTCTACTACTAATTGTGACGTCGATAGTTGTAGAATGAATTGTGATTACCCTGTTTCATACTTAACATTTCTAAATTGTATTAGTATATACTCCTCATCAATATACTCGATCACTATTGAGGCAATCATCTAAACCTTATAATGTGATCAAATTTTGATTTATAATCTTTGGATATATTAAATCTGCAAATCCGCTTTATTGTTTTGGTAGATTGCTATTTGTAAAAGAAAGTTTTCAGGCTAGAGGCGGAGTTCATTGATGAGATTGTTCCGCTTTATTGTTTTGGTAGATTGCTTTTTGTATTAATAATTAAAAGAAAATTTTCAGGCTAGAGGCGGAGTTCATTGATGAGATTGTTAAGGACATTTGTCGTAGATTACAGATACCCTTAAGAAATGGTATGCCGCAACTTATTGGGGTGAACAATTCCATCAAATTTGTCACTTCATGGTTGAAAGATGATTCCTCGTATACAGGAGACATACTCACTATTTTGGGTATGGACGGAATCGGTAAGACATCTTTAGCAAAATATGTTTATTGGTCAAATTTTCGAGAATTCGACACAAGTAGTTACATTGAAGATATTAGCAGGAGGTGTGCTGACAAATATAATGGGTTGCATGATTTGCAAAAACAACTCTGTGGTGACATTACCAAAACAAGTCCAACTCAATTCCATTATAATTCTATATGCACCTCACAAATAGAGAATGCAATAGAGAATAAAAAGGTGTTTCTAGTTCTTGATGATGTTGATAGTGTTCAACAGTTAGATGCATTACTTGGAAGTAGAGGTTTTCAACAAGGAAGCAAAATCATATTAACAACAAAGGATGCATGGTTGACAAAGAGTTGTGCGCTATTCAAAACAAATGTTAAACCCAAGCATGCAAAGCACTTGCTTCAAGGCTTATGTGAAACTGGATCACGAGAACTTTTGTGTTTTCATGCATTCATGTGCAAAAATCCCAATACAGGTTATGAAGAGGTATTAGAAAATATAATGACATACTGTGGTGGGCATCCATTGGCTCTTGAAGTTTTGGGCAAGTCTCTATATAATCGAGATGTAGCTTATTGGGAAGAGTGTATAAAAGGGCTAAAGAAAGAAATTGGTTCTCACATCAATAATGTCTTGAGAATGAGTTTTGACTCTTTGCCATCCGAAAATGATAAAGATTTATTTAAGCATATTGCTTGTTTTTTTGTTGGAATGGATAAGGATGTTACCGAAACAATATTAAAGGCTTGTGATATAAACACAAGATCTGGGATCACAAATCTAATTGATAGATGCATGCTCAGTGTTGGTGAGAATAACCAACTAATGATGCATCAGTTGCTTAGAGACATGGGAAGATTTGTGGTACGTCAAGAATCACTAGAAAAACCGTGGAAACGAAGCCGATTATGGTGTCATGAGGAGTCGTTCAAAGTTTTGAAACAGAAAAAGGTATGTGCTCATCTATACTTGTTATATATATATATATATATATATATATATATATATATATATATATATATATATATATATATATATATATATAGGGAAATGATCAAATGAGAACACCTAAAAGGTTGAGAACGCGAGAACAGTTCTAAACCAATCAATACATAAGGGCGTTAACGGAATTTAGCAATGTAATTAAATTATAAAAAAATAAAATATAATCATATTTTCCTATAATTTAGGGGATTATGACAGTTTCCTTAAAACAAGAATTTAATGTTATTTTTAATATTATTAAGGGATAAAAAAAACGTTATTTCCGATTTTGTTTTGAGAGTTTTCAGATTTTTTTTTATTATTCGCCATGTATAGATATTCATTGGTGAATAATGGTGTTCATGACAGATTTACTAGAACTTAAAAATTGTTCGTGACAGATTTATCGGAATTTTTTTTCTAGAATTTTCAAAATTTATATGATATCATGTTAATCATGAACGAGTAAAAAGTAGACAAAAAAAAGATGTAATATACGACTTATTTATCTAACAACAATCAATGGAAATATATTCATCTAGTAATATTCATAAATGAGTAATGTTACATTACTTTTATTCAAAAATACATACATCTAATATTCGTCATGTTTTATTCTTAAATGAATAAAACTAAATTTAATTATACTCATAAATATATATTTGTTTCTTTTCTCGCTGCTACATATGTTTCTTTTTTCTTGTGATGGATCTTTTCACATGAAATATGATGCTTTTTGATATTAACTTTTGTAGTTTTTTTACAGCAGAAATTCGCAAGCAACACTTTGTAAGGTCATAACTATTTCGAATTCACCTGCCTTGAATACCTATCACAATTTTTAGACAAGTGAAAAATCAACTTTGATTTTTGATATTTGAAATCCATACAAAATAGTTATAATCATAAAATAAATACAATACAATAAAAAGATAAATAATTCCAATACATTTGCAATCCTAAATGAATAAAGCATAGTTATGATATATAAAAATAATCTAAAAACACATATAATCATAAATAAACAAAGCACAGTTTCAATCATATATAAAAAAGTCAAGATACAAATATAATAAAAAATGAATAAAGCATGATATAGAGATAAACAAATATGATATAATCACAAGCATAAATGAATAATGCATAACTGTAATCGTATATAGAAAAAAATCAAAATTTAGTAGTAATCGTAAATGAATAACACAAATTTCTAATCAGATATAAAAAATCTTTGTAATCATAAATGAACAAAATATTATAAGAATCAAATTTTAAACTCAACTAAAGCATTTGTAATCATACATAACATCAAGAAACAAAAACTAAATTGTTAGAGCAATGGATAGTAAAAAAAATTAAGATAACTAAGTAAAAGAAGGAACCAAATTTGTGTGTTTACTGTGTATCAATAAGGACCAATAATCTTTGTCCTCCCACCCTCCTGTTTTCGTTTGTAATAGCAGCCATCCAAGAAAAAAAAAACTTGTGTCCCAACTCTCCTCCAATTGATTATCAGTGCCATGTGTTGTTGATTAATCTACGACCATATGTGAAAGAATTTATACATTCAAATCTGATTTGTGGGTGATTGCAGTAGGAAGAAAAACTTTGTGCCCTAGCTCTCCTTCAACCAATTACCAGTGCCTTCCACAACCATTTCCGTCCTTTAAGGCTTGAAGGGTTCTTCGATTTTCTGTTGGATTAGGGTTCCACAACCATTTTCGTCCTTTGAGGCTTGAATGATTCTCCGATTTTTTGTTGGATTAGGGTTTAAGAAAACGTGAAATAATAGAGGATAGATGTGAGGTGATGGTGTGATGGTTGACGATGGTTGCAAATGACTGTATAAAGTAATCGACGATGGAGGTTGGCGGGAGATGATGAAGAAAAACGGTGGTGAGATAGCAATGGAGAAGAGGAGATAACGTGAAGAATGGTGGGGTGTGCGGCCGCTATTCTCAAAATAATAAGATTATGGTTCTGTAGTTAAGTAGAGAGAGAGAGAGAAATGAGGAATAAGACTATCATACCTAAATTATAGGAATTTCTATTTAATTAAATTATATGGATTTCCTATTATATCCTTTTAGCCATTTTAAAGTTACGTATTTAGCACATCAGTTTTATAACATACATAAATGGTCCAGTTAATTATAGCCCTAGATCTAATTATTTAGAAGGTTGTGATCTGTTCTCGCGTTCTCAACCTTTTAGGTGTTCTCATTTGATCCTACTCATATATATATATATATATATATATATATATATATATATATATATATATATATATATATATATAAAAGTTCAAATAAAAACAGTAAAAAAACACTATGTTTATGTTATTATTCTGCAATGAATGTTGTATATAAGTATTGTTGAAGTAATTCTAATGTTAATATTAACGTTTGATTATTCATATATTCATTAGAATGTTATTATTTTATTATAAATTTTGTGTATGTGCATTATTCTAGTAAATTCTAATATTAGTTTTAATGTGTGATTATTCATCTATTCATTGCTGAATAATGACATAAAATTGTGGATACAAAATTCATTGCAGAAGATATATATATATATATATATATATATATATATATATATATATATATATATATATATATATATATATATATATATCATTTCTTTTTAGGGTATGGGAAATCTTCTAGGCCTTGCTCTTGACATGCGAATGCTTGAGAATGAAAAATTACATTCGTCGTTTAAGTTGAAAACTGATGTGCTGGGTAATATGGATAATTTGATGCTACTGCAACTCAATTATGTTCAAATTGATGGGTCTTATGACAAGTTTCCAGAAGAATTGAGATAGTTGTGTATGCATGGATTCCCTTTAAAGTCTATACCATCAGACTTACAAATGGAGAATTTGGTTGCCCTTGACATGTCATATAGCAATATTCAATCATTTGGTATTTGTGATATAAATCCACGACTTGAGAGTAGGAACGAGGTAACTTATCTAAATTTATTATTCTTCCATATTAAGTTCATGAAATGGATTGCTAATTTAACTTGTTTGCAATGTTGTAGGTACTCGGGTCATCTTTAAATGACAAAATGTCGTTTGGATCACTAAAGATTCTTAATTTAGGTTTCTGTGAACAACTCCATATAGTGTCTGGCTTTGACGAACTCCCTGCTCTAGAGAGGTTAATACTTACAAATTGCATTGGTTTACTTGTGGTTTGTGAATCAATTGAGCAATGTGTTAAACTTGTCGTCGTTGATCTAAGCTATTGTAACAAGCTTGAAAAGCGACCAAGAACCATAAGTATGTTAAAGAACGTGAAAAGACTATTGTTAGAGGGTTGGAATCTTGGTGAATCTCAATTCAAAATAAGAGAATTAGATTCACCAAAAATATTCAATGTAAACAACATTTTCATATACACAAAAACCTCTTCATCCAATATTTGGGGGGCTATACCAAGTGATTTCAAGTTTGTTGCAAGCTTTTTTTCGAGTTCTTTAGTGAAGTTATCACTTGCAAAAAATAATATGTCCACCGAATCTTTTCCCATAGACTTTAGTTGCCTACACATATTAGAGGAATTGTATTTAGATGAAAATCCTATTGTTTCCTTGCCCAATTGTGTGAGAAGCCTTCCTAGACTTAAGAAACTTAGCCTGGAAAACTGTAAATATTTAAAGTCAGTTGAGTATCCTCCACATACACTAAGAAAGTTGATCCTCTATTCTTCTCTATTCTTCTCATATCTCAAATTCAGGTTTCCTCTAGTTAAACTATTCATCTTTGTGTCGATATGTATAAATTTGGGTATTAATTCATGTTGCATTTGGCAGATGTATTATGAATTTGGAATCTTCAGCACAATTTATGGAGGCAAAGAGATGCCGAATTGGATCAGGCGTAGAAGTAAGCAGGCATCAGTATCATGTACCATACCATCATCTCGTAATAAGGTCAGAGGACTGAATTTCTGCTGCATACACAAGGTTCCATTTCCTTAGAAGAGGATTTTATTTCCAAATGAGGAGTTCCGTTATTTGCCAATGATCATACTTCATAATATAACAAAGAAGCGCACATGGGTATACAATCATTATGTTTACAAAGTCAATGTAGGTGGAGATTGCCAAATATTGTTAAGCCACTGGATGTTTGGGATGAATGAGATGGAACGTGGTGACCAGATTACGGTTATTGCAAAGGCAGAAGTAGATCAAATTATAAAGGAGTGTGGGGTGAAGCTTGTGTATGATGATGGAAGCACATATGAAGATGAAGATCCATTGGATTATTACAAGTCATGGAATCACATCAATGGTGAAGATCTCTGTGCTTTTGAAATAATTAAAGGAGCATACTTCTTACACAACACAGAGTTTATGATGAACTCCCAATTTAACGGTATATATCATTCTTATCAAAACCATGATTTGAACTATGATCCAAGTAGATGGATAATCTGATCATTGACCCACATTTTTAAAAACTAGATGGATCATGGCATATTTATCTTTAAATAGATAGACCATGGTCTAATTATTTTAAAATATATATGAATCATTATTTATTTCACTATAAAAAAATATAAAATTGTTTTTAATTTTCAATGGAGCAACCTAAATGGTCGATGGACCCAAGTATTGATCTATCTAAATTGGTTGATTTGTTGGATCAATCAGTATGGGATTTTTGTAAGTTTCTTCACAAAAATATCATAACTAGATCAACATCCAAATCATTTAGAGAACTAATTATAACTACTCTTTTACGCGCGTGGGTGTATGTGAATGATAACTAATGTATTATTTTTATTTCTGGTTTCATGAGAAGAGAAAATGCGCTTTAGAACTTTATCTTAGAGGAATTGGGATATACTTAATCAAGAAAGTGAGGTATACTTTTTGACACTCATATATATCACTCATCTCATAAGAATAAATAAAAGGCACAATGACCAAATATGTTGTAATAGAAGTTACTAATTGGTACAGGGATGTGACAAGGAATTACAACCTTTGCAATGGATGCTTGGAAATAGAAACATCAACATGTACATGGGGATCATATGTTGTGATAGGCCAACCTTTAAGCCCATATACCTTTATAGAACTTTGAATTTAATGTTCTCAAGTTTATCATGATATCTGGCTATATTTATTTCCGTTTGAGTTTAAATCGTGTAATTTTAGTGATTTACGTCAATTACATAATGTTCTCAAGTTTATCATGATATTTGTCTATATTTATATCCGTTTTAGTTTAAATCGTGTAATTTTAGTGATTTACGTCAATTACATGCGTACATGACATTTTAGACATTGCTTTTTTTCTTTGGGAATGACAATATATTACTCAAACAAAGGCTAGTCAACAACTATCAACAAGAATAAAATTACAAAGGAATCAATGGTGTAGAAGGCCAAGCCAACCACAACATCCAGTCAACCTTAAAGCTTCTACGCCTACTACTTAACTAGAAGAACAAATTAATAAAATACATTGTTAAATAGAGCCTCACAACAGCCTATCTCATTTTGAAAGTTGATTTCATTCCTAATCCTCCAAATCTCCCAAGTAATAGTACAAATAACATAGTCCAACGCACCTTTGACATGGCTGGAAGCCCTCAAATGTCAAATTTGCCACCAATCCGATCAAATCACCAAATTGGTAGAATTTAGAAGCATGCCTTTCAAATCTCACCATCTATCTTCCTCTACTCTAATTTAGAAAAAAGGACATCCAAACAAGAGATCTGTAGATTTAGAACAACTAGAGCACAAGGACAAAGCATATATCCATGTCAAGCCTAATGTTACTCATATTGACTTTAGTAGGGACTTCATTCAAGTTTACCCTCCATCTTAAGATATTAACCTTGCTAGGAAGCCATTTATTCCACTTAGTACCTTCACTGATGTTGACCAATGTTTTCCCATCAATGCAAGCTCTAAGAGATGCCACATAGAATTTGCCATTGGATTTAATGCTCCACCACCACACATCAGGTTTAGAATGAGCTAAATCAAGCCTATAAGTTTTAAACCGCATCCTACCAAACTCCTCAACTGTAGGCTTGTCCCTAACATGTCTTCTCTATTAAAGATGCCTTGTAAATCTTTTCTTTCATGTCGATATATTGTGTTGTACTTAATGCAACTTTTTATGAAATGCTAGAATATGTGGAAAAGCCCATTAATTAGGATTGCATGTATATATCAGTATATATAGTGTAGAATGTTACAAAAGAGCCCCCATATTATACAAGAATATAGAACATGTATAAACTATCTAACACATCCCCATAGTTGGAGCAGGAGGATCTTGAATGTTCAAACTATTTTTGAAATCCGAAAATAATTGTGTAGGTAAGCCCTTTGTAAAAGTATATGCATACTGATAGGCGGAGGGTACATGTAAAATACGCACATGCCTAATCGCAACACGCTCCCTAACAAAATGTAAATCTATTTCCGAATGTTTGGTTCTTTGGTGTTGTATTGGATTAGAGGCTAAATACATGGCACTGACATTGTCACAAAAGACAATTGTGGCACGAGATAGAGGACAAAATAACCCGAGAAGGAGATTTCCAGGCCAAACAGTTTCAACAACTACATTAGCTGCCCCTCGATACTCGGCTTCAACATTAGACCGAGAAATTACATGTTAGCGCTTGGAGGACTAACACACGAGGTTATCACCAAGAAAAACACAAAACTCAGACGTGGACCGATGAGTAGTGAGACAACTGGCCCAATTAGCATCAGAATATGAAACCAAACGATCAACGACTAAACAACATATATAAAGTCCATGAGTTAAGGTACCTTTAAGATACCTCAAGATACACTTTAGAGCCTAAAAATATGGTACATGTGGGCCATGCATGAAAACACAGACATGCTGAATAGCATAGGGAATATCAGGATGAGTAAAGGTAAGATATTGTAAGGCTTCTCTAAAGCTTTGATATAGAGTCGGATCAGAAACCGGCTCACCGGCAGACGAGAGCTTGGATTTAGTGTCAGCCGGAGTGCTACAAGGATTACACATGGCCATATCAGCACGGGTAAGGATCTCCTAAGCAAATGCAGATTATGAGAGAAAGAGAGAGGAGGCGATACGAGTAGCAACAATACCTAGAAATAAGGAGAGAGGAACAAGATCACTCATTGGAAACTCATATGAAAGGAGAGTGACGACCTCAGTGATAATAGTAGGCGAAGAAGCAGTAAGGATAATATCATCCACACACAGGAGTAGATAAATAACATCTTTACCATTATGAAAGGTAAAAAAAAGAACTTTCAGATTTGATACTATGAAACCCAAGAGAAGAGAGAAAGATGGCAAAATGATGGTACCAGGCACGAGGAGACTATTTGAGGCCATAAAGGGACTTACAAAGGAGACAAACATGATCTGGAAACTGAGGACTAGTGTAGCCAGGAGGTTGGTGCATATAAACCGTTTCAGTTATATCCTCGTGAAGAAAGACATTTTTTACATCAAGTTGATGAATTGGCTAGTTTTTCGAGACAGAAATACTGAGGAAGGAGCGAATTGTAGCAGTTTTGACGATAGGACGGAAAGTGTCATCAAAGTTAAGACCAAGTTTCTCGGAAAAACCTTGAGAAACAAGACGACCTTTATAACGGTCTAAGTGACCATTATTGTCAAGCTTGTGACGATACAACCAACGAAAACCAACGATGTTTGCATTCATGGGTTTTGGAACAAGATCCCATGTGTGATTTGAGAGAAGGGCTGACATTTTAGAGTCCATGGCAGAATGCCAGTTTGGGTCACACATAGCCTAAGCAGTTGAGCAAGGAATACGAGAAACATTAGAGAAATAAAGAGATTAAAAATATGAAAAGGGCGAAGTGAACCAGTACGAGATCTGGTAACCACCGGATGGTTGGAGGGAGGAGGGGCAGGAACCATTATATAGGGAGGGTCCAAGGTGACAGTAGAGGAAGTAGATGGAGTAAGGGGAAAGGGTGAGTGTATATCCTCGGTGGGAGTAGAGGATGGAGGATCAGAGGTGATAATAGGGGGAGAATATGGATACTAGAGGATGGTCATCATCGGGAATGAATGAGTCCTAGTCGTCAGCTGTCGGTGAGGGATGAAAGTCATAATAAGGGAAGTGAGTTTCATCATAAATAACATGACGAGAGAGAATGACGTTTTGAGTGATGATATCCAAGCACTGATACCCTCGATGACCAGAGGAAGGTCCAAGATATACACAAGCAGAAGAATGATGAGAGATTCGGGTAGCAAAGGCACCTAAAGATGCAAAGGTGTGCATAAGTTGGAGAAAAACCAAAAAGAATTTCAAAAGGGGTTTTACGATGAAAGGTAGTAGTGGGTAAGAGATTAGATGTATGAGCAACAAAATGAAGAGCTTCAGCTCAAAACGAAAGAAAGAGAGAAGCTTGAATTAGTGAAGTGTAAACAATATTGTTAATAGTGTGTATGGTGCGTTCGGATTTCCCATTTCTAGGGATGTATAAGGACATGAAAAATGAATTTTATGCCATGATCATTCAAAAAATATAAGAGTGACTTGTTGTTAAAGTCACGAGCATTGTTACATTGAAAAATTTGAATGTCAGTTTTAAATTGATTATTAACATATGCACAAAACGTTTTAAAATTAGAGAATACTTCAGATTTGGTGCGCAACAGAAATATCCACAAAAAATGAGAATTATCATCTAAAAACATAATGTAATATTTGAAACCACTAAGACTTGAACCAAGAGAAGTCCACAAATCAAAATGAATAAGTTCAAACACACGACTAGTTTTAGTTTCTGATAACGAAACGGTAACTGATAATGCTTTCCTGGTTGACAAGCATGACACAAAGACTTGTTTTTATTAGGACAATAAATAAAATTGCACGACTAAAGAAATTGGAGGATATATGCACTTGGGTGAATGAGTCGTAATGCCAAAATTTCATGAGAAACAACAATGAGCGTAGTGGTTGAGTTACAGCTGGCAGTGGGGGGGGGGGAGAGAGAACAGGGTATAAATTAGCATGGTTGATGTCGTAGCATTGAAGAGGAGTACATGTGCTAAGATCCTTGACAGTGAAACCAAACAGGTTAAACCCAACCGAAACAAAGTTGTCAATAGTAAATCTACGAACATAAATTAGATTTTTTTTACCATCTTTTCAGAAACAAGAATGTTTTAAAAAACGATTGTTGGAAATAGGAAAAAAAAGAATGAGTTATGGAATTGACAAGAAGTACAACACCGTTACCAACCATAATAAATTTAGAGTTACATGGAGTTAAGGATCACAATGTACCTTGGTTGAAGGACATGTGGGAGCTTGCTCCAGAGTCCATGTAAGAGGTGTTATCGCGAGGAGGTTGAACAAACATAGCTTGAAAGACGGACGTGAGATCGGTGAATTTTTGATGCAAGGCTTGACCTATGAAGGAGGCTGATGCGAAGGAGACACAGGAGAATAGAATTACGGAGGACCTTCATAGGGATACTGAGAGGGTAGTAGGTGCTGCTGATGATGGCCGAGGGGAGGCAACAGGTTTGGAGACTGCTGAAACATCGGGTACGCAACGTTAGGGATGAAAGTGGGTCCAAACCCAGACCGGTAGCCCCGGACTCGGAAAATCCGGGAACTGGTTAACAGGATTTTGTGGGTCCGAAAACCGGACCGGTATATTGGAACCAGTTCCGGTTCGGTTCCGGGTAAGGTACTGGGTAAAGTGGATCAAGAACCGGAAAACCCGGAAACATTAAAGTGGGTCGGGTGGAACCGGGTAAAGTGGGTCTAGAACCAGAAAACCCAGGAAATCCGGAATTTTTTTGGTAATTACTTAGTGTTTGAACTTCGAAAATTTTCAACTTTGATATCCTAAATTTGGGGGACTGTAACTCATTGAATATTAAACCAAAAATGACAAAATTGTAGTCTATATTCATGTATAAACTCTAAACTACACGTTGCAAAAACATCCTGATAATCCGACTTCAAACAAATTAGTTATTCATTTTTAAAATTTCACAAACTATAAAAATAAAACTGAAAAACTGGAAAATTCACACCATTGATATCGCGACTTTGGGGGACCGTAAGTCAATGGATATGTAACCAAAAATGACAAAATTATAGTCTAAAATCATATACAAACTCTAAACTACACTTTGAAAAAAAACATCATGATAATCCGAATTCAAAC